AAAAAAAGATAATTTTCTTTGCCGTCTATCGAATAATATATCAATATCAATGACATCAATGTATTTTAAGAGGAAAATATACGTTGGAATTCACAAAAAGCGAAAATGTCGAAAATTATATATAAGGTGGTAGACCATGGTTTCAAAATAGCAGTGTGCTCCCTCTAGAACCGTTTTCTCCTTATGAAATAAGAAGAAAATGTACTTTTGGAGCACTAACTATATAATTTTTCTAATTCCCACATAAACTTGTTTTGAAGTTCACTGTTCACCCAGCACATTGACAGCTATTTTAAACGGCAATCAACCAATAATCTGCCAACTAGAAAAGAAATAAAAATATTTCACATACCTTGGTCGTTTGCATGTGAAGCGAGCTCTGTAAAAGCTTGAATCGTCTGAATCTCGTTATCTCGAGAACGGAATTTCGGAAACTCTCCATAAACGTCTTAATGCAACTGCAAATAAGATATTGACCTGCAACACTCGCAGGTTTACTTGATTGAGTATCTTGTCTTGAGGTTCAGTTCATGGTAGATGGTCTCAATTTTACACATTCATCTCACAAATCGATTTATACAACTATTCGGCTCTGTAGCCTTCATCGGCATGTATCAATTATTCGAAAGACTAAATCCTGGAAATGTTGCCAAGTGCGGAAATATCTAAAAACCAAAACGAAATAAATGCTCCGTGAACTGGTTTATTGACGATTGGTTATAAATAATACTATTTACTAACGCCGTACTCTTTGTTGCCACAACCAGGAGTTAGTAAGTAAGAAGATGGTCTTTTGAGACTCCCGAGGCTGAAGTGCTGGAGGTTAGAGTAGGTTCTCACTGTGGTGTTATAATTCACGTTTAGATTTTGCGCAGTCAAAACAGATAAAGTTTTTTTGGGTGTCAAAGTGCACCCAGAAATAGTGCAGGATGGCATCCAGTAGCATCATTACAGAGCACTATGATTGGAGCAGCGAGCTATGGGTTCGGTCCCAGCTAAATACTGAAGTTACGTATTTGTCAAATCGGCGAGGTGGCCGGGCTGTTAAGCAAAGCAAAATTGGAGCAGTGAGATCGAAGCTTGGTAGGGTAGTGAGGACATAAGAAAGCTTGGCAGAGTAGTGAGGACATAAGGAAGCTTGGTAGGGTAGTGAGGACACAAGAAAGCTTGGCAGGGTAGTGAGGACATACGGAAGCTTGGTAGGGTAGTGAGGACATAAGGAAGCTTGGTAGGGTAGTGAGGACATAAGGAAACCTCAGGAAGGACATTCGTTCTAAATTTTAATGCAATTAAAAAAGAAGACATTTTTACTGGTGGATTTCACTAACAAGAGAAGCGGTTCGAAACCAATAATTAAGGGGGGGGGATGAGTAGTGGAGTAGTGGGAGTAGCGAGAAGTATTCAAGAGTACTGACAGAAGTACAGATACTAAGAATATGATATTTACGCAGCCATTAATTGAGTAACATACCTAGAAATGATTACGGCTAGTGTATCACTTAGCTCTCTATTTCAGCTAGTAGTAACAATAGGCACAATAAACAAATTTATTGTTATATTAGCACGGCACGAAGCTCACCTTTCCATTACGGTTGGATGCATGTGATGTTCTTATCCACAAATGAATTGCGAACTGAATGGAGTTACGAAGGGAGGAAAAATTCGTGTATATAATTAAAAAGGTCTGATTTTTTGCTGACTATAATAAGCAATACTGCAAGATGGTGAGGTTCATATGCAAAACTTGGTAAATTTTTGTTATAATATATGCCGTCCGGTCAATGCAGAGCTCACAGATGGTTCAAATTACAGATGCATTAATTTCTGCCAGTTTTATGTAGATCATATTATCAACTTCATTTAATGACCAATTAAACATTGAATTATGAAATAACGGTGGAAGATTTCAACCGAATTTCTGTACTCGATGATGCAGAAAATGTCAAAGAATTTCACGATTATTATTAGACTATAAGAAAATTTTAGAGATTATTTTGGAGATTATTCGAATATATTGGAGATTACATGAATATTTTGGAGATTATTTGAATATTTTCGTGTAGTGGCGTAACAAGGTTCTGGATTGAATCCAAGCTTGACTACATTGGCTTGAGACGCACGCCTCCTCTATATATATAGATATGATACGTCTCCACTAAAGAAATTATTATAGAACTAATTATAACCAGAATTCATTAATTAATTATATATTTTATTTCATTCGCATTCGGGATTCTCATGTTTGGACATGTTCGGTGACTTAATTCAGTTTCAATTCGGAATCCTCAATGTAATATCAATGAGGTTACTATTCTTATGTTATTTGCTTAATTATCTTTCATTTTTATTTATTTAAAGCCTGTAAATTAGCCAGTGTTATGACTACAAATTAATGGTCATATAAAACGGATGTTTTTTACAACGTTCACAATGAATGAGTAATAATTACATTTCATTCTAATAACTCATGAGAATATTATAGGAAACGATTAATTGTATTGGACTGAATATAAAATACTGCATAATTAAAGATGGACTAGACTAAATCACTGTCTTTGCTAGCCTACTCGTGAATATATGTCCGTCTTTGCTAGTCTACTCGGGAGAATCTGTCCGTCTTTGCTAGCCTGCTTGAGAGAATCTGTCCGTCTTTGCTGGTCTTCTCGAGAGAATCTGTCCGTCTTTGCTAGCCTGCTCGGGAGAATCTGTCCGTCTTTGCTAGCCTGCTCGGGAGAATCTATCCGTCTTTGCTAGCCTGCTCGGGAGAATCTGTCCGTCTTTGCTAGCCTGCTCGGGAAAATCTGTCCGTCTTTGCTAGCCTGCTCGGGAGAATCTGTTCGTCTTTGCTGGCCTACTCGGGAGAATCTGTCCGTCTTTGCTATCCTGCTCGGGAGAAGCTGTCCGTCTTTGCTAGCCTGCTCGGGAGAATCTGTCTGTCTTTGCTAGCCTGCTTGGAAGAATCTGTCCGTCTTTACTGGCCTGCTTGGGAGAATCTGTCCGTCTTTGCTAGCCTGCTCGGGAGAATCTGTTCGTCTTTGCTGGCCTTCGCGGGAGAATCTGTCCGTCTTTGGTAGCCTGCTCGGGAGAATCTGCCCGTCTTTGCTGGCCTGCTTGAAAAAAATCTGTCCGTATAACGAGCGAGTTGTGTCTCCTTTGCCTCTTCACGCGCGTTGAAGGGGAGTCGGCACCGCAATTCAGAGGCAGCACGCAGCAAAGGTTTTGTGCTGATGACATTTCTACCGTCTTACGACTTTTAACATTGCTTCATCTTGTACTATTATTTCATTTTTTGTCCTTTTTTTAAACAGGGTTGCCAGACGGTAATTTTTTCCGGAGAAATTCCGTGATTTAGTTTTTCTCAATTGCGTTGGCCGGCTAAAATTTATGATAGGGGTACTTCCTAATTAAATTTTAAATATGCCATGAAGAAAAGTCAGCACTTTTCAAATCTTACGACTCGCTCGTTATTATTGTTAGTGTGTGTTATAGAAGCAGAACTTGCTGTGCTAGTAGAGAACTATATATGAAGAGTATCACCTCTTTGTCTAGCTCTACCGCTCACCATTTATGCAACTTCTTGAATGCACGTCCGAAATGACGGCAACTTTTCTCTCATTATAATTATTTATAATGAGAGAAAATATTTCGGGAGGCGATAATATTTTATATTATCGCCTCCCTATTATTACATAAAGATGGCTGATAGATCAAAAATTGTTTTTGATGGCAGAAATGAGATAAAAGGTCATTTATTAAAAATTATTTTGCCATTATACAAGTCTACTTCTCTGTCATTTGTATAGGTTGGCAGTATTGTTTCCTTCAAGCAGGTTTCATTGAAGACCAGAGAATTTGTTTTATTTAAATTTTTCTTACTAGGTTTTTTTTCAATAGATCGAGCAATAATTTTTGTTTGTACTGGTAAATCGAAAATCAGGGTAACGATAGATATTTTTATTTCGTCGACGTGTGGAATGTATGAATCATTATCAAGGTACAAGAGGCATTGAGTGATGAAATTTGGAACGATCTAAGCACAAAATCATGTAAATAGGATACTACTCAAAAATAAATTTGGTCAGCAATAATTGCCAAATCACGAAAATATGAAGATAACCAAGAATTAAATCACCAAAAATCACTCAGAAAACAGTCTCAAGGTTTTGACAAATCCAGTAGTTTGAAGCTCAATGGCTGGAGTCCTATATTTAATGACGAGGGCCTCAGCTATCGCGAGTCGGTTGGCGTCGGGGCATCTCATGACGACGCTGGTGCATTCTTCCAGCACCGTACGAGTGATGGTCTCGTTATGGGCCTCCATCAGGTGGTTCTTTGGTCCACCAGACTGAAGGTGGCACGTGAGACGTCGGCTTAATGTTGTAGTTGTGAGCCCGATGTAGTTCATGTTGGGGAGAATTCTACAACCTTCTTCCTAGAATTCATTTCAGACGTCATCTTTGCTGAACAAATTAATGGAAAAGACGTTAACTTTAAGGTTAACTATCCAGAACAATGGAATAGGTTCTAACATTATCAGGCATCACTATTCAAGTATCGAGCGCAAATTACTCCCGTAAAATGTTGAAATTATAGAACAGTCAAGCTCTGTTAAATTACCCTTATCACAAATTTGTTTGGTAACCTGTTATTTTTATCACGTAAAAGCAAGACAATGCTGAATAAACATAATAATAAATAGAAGACATGATGTAAATATGCTCAACGCTGAGCCTCAAGGATACAAATGGGACAATAAAATTATTATTATTATTCTAATTCCAGACGCCAATATAATAATTATTATTCGAAGCAGTTATCGTGGCGTCTGGTTCAAACGAACTTCGAGGGCGCATTACACGTTAGTTTAATAGCAAGCGAAAAATAAATATGCACTAGAAAGGATGAGAACGGATAAAAATGATTAAGCATTCGATTCATAGGCTCTACGAAATAGTTCCGTCTTTAGGCGTTGACGAAACACCTGCAACGAAGGAGCCGATGTTACGGAAGCCGGCAGACTGTTCCAGGTTCTGGCAGCGGCGACCAGGAACGCACTGACGTCGACGGTAGATAGACGTGTAGATGGAACGACGAGGTCCGCTGATAATGACGAACGCAGCCGTCTTCTAGAAGGCAGATCCGAAACGCGTTGCAGATATTCCGTGAGACAAGGACGGGCCAGACAGTGAAGGCATCGGAACGTCAGAACAGCGACCTTGAACTGCGTGCGCTCCTGCATGCACAGCAGCCATTGAAGATCGCGACATATCGGCGTCACGTTATCGAATTTTCGCTTATTAATTGCACACAAGTCGCGCAGCAGCGTTCATTACGGCTTGCAGTTTGTTTAGTGTCGTGGTCGGAAGTCCATGCAGAGCGACATTACCATAGCCCAATCTGGTCAGAACGAGCGCCACGACATGGGCCTCAAGAGACAGCGGTAGACGTACGCTATGTATTCGTCGCAGAGCGCCAAAATAAGTGCTGGTGACTTTGGCAAGGTGATTGTTCACAGAAAGTTAAAAGTCCAGTAGAATGCCCAGGTTACGAACTGAAGACGCAGGCATGACGAGCTCGTTGCCCACTCGAACAGGGTTGGCCGGAAACCGATGAGGGTTGGTTCCGAGGAGTCTCAAACCAAATAAAGTTGGTTTTTGACGCATTGAGCTGGAGCCGGTTAGAGCGCATTCAGTCTGAGACGGCTCCACGTCTGACGCTGCAGCGTCAGCCGGCGCACAGTATCCATAATTTTGGGTGTCATCGAGATACATATGCGGATTAAATATGTATGCAATGATGTCTGCTAAGCATTAACATAATCCTGATTAACATAATATCCGTCTACAGGCTTCTGAGCCTAAAAAAACAACTACATAAGAGGTACAACCACCCCGCAGGCACACCTGGGTACAATCTGCAGTACAAAAAAGCAGCTGCTTGTCATAATTTTTTAAGAAAGATTAGGAAATGTTCCTCTCATAGCTTTTCTTTAGGACAACACACTCCCTGAACATTCTCTCAGGTATAGAAGGGACTTAATTACATTGCAGACACTGTATTTATTCAAGTAGTAGTATTCAAGTAGTAGTATTCATAGCAAGTAGTTAATGACTAGAAGTGCTCACATGTTTGTGTCATCAAACTTGTTAGCCTATCAGAGTGGGAGAGCTCTTTAATATCTTCTTCAATTATTAGCTAAACTTTGTAAAAGTTTTAACCGTCACAAAAATCATAGATTATCAAAACCATAAAATTAAAACCATTAATTTACAAAATCGATTATGACAATCAATAACTTACGGTCTTGAAAGTTATAACTTATAATACTCTAAAAAGTGTTAGACACCAGAAACAAACAGAAGGAGCTAGATGTGAAAATTTTTTGTCAAATGTAAACGATAAAAGTTTTCATTGAAAATGACAAAAATTCAATTTATTCGGCCAATTTAACACAAGTGTTCAAATCTCATCTAATGGAACAATTCTACGCTCAACTATATGATTTTAAGAAAAGAACAAGCACTATACTATTATATAAGAGCAGAAACAGCTTCTTAGGGATACGCCAAAAACTCTCAATACTATCACAACTTTCGCTAATTTTTCATTGCCGAAATTGCATTAGAACAAATGATTTTTTCCATATTTAAATAATTTCCAATTAGTCAACGGGGCAGCTGAGTAAAACTTAAATGATATGTAAAAAATCATTTATTTGCCACCATGAACAAGGTGAGCGCTGTCATGGTGGAACGAGACGACCTACTGGCCTAATGATAGGCAAAAATGTTGTGTCATTTAATCTAATTAGCTTAAAAATGAAACACGAGACCCGTAATTATTGAACACAAGATATGCATATGACATATTTCAACGTATTTTATACAGGGCGCTGTGCAAGTAACATGGGTATTACGTATTAGTAGCGATTTCATTGACTCACAAGAAAGCCCCCGATCACCTTTTTCATGGAACCTTTTATATATGCACACCATTCCAGGAGTAAAGAAATTGCTTAATTTTTGCGCAACGAATGTGCAATTTTCTAAACCAAACAGATGAATCCGTTGCCAAAGTTATGCAACAATTCACGCATACAGATATAATTAAAAAGCAAACACTTATTATCTAGGATAATGCAACAGTAAGTAATCGAAAGACGAATATGAGAAGAACGATTGTGACCGAATTGAAGTAGAGATCATAATCTTTATCGTTATAGTTTATCTCTTATAGTTTATCTTATCTTATCTTATAGTTTATCTTATCTTATAGTTTAAGTCTCCACTCGAGCATGGCCTTCCTGAACTGCCTGTACACATAATTTAGATTGCTCGTATAGCTAATTGATTGAATTTAATTATCCTTCGCTTGCCAGTGCAAAAAAGCACTAGAGTTTCAACGACATTGACTATCAATTGATTATATTGTACCCAGAACGGTCTGGCTGCGAGAAAGAATAAAAGATGGAGAAGGGACAAGTGAGCAAACGAGTCGAAGACAATCATACAAGATGTCGCTTACACGAGTCGTCGGCACAAGAAGCAAAGGATGAAACGCAAAGTATCCTGCTTACATAAAAACTTGACACCACAGCCAGTGAAAATTTACAGACGCGGCAGCTTCTGATTTGGATTACCAGAAGCTGGAGCGACTCTAAATTTTGTTAGGGCAACTGAGTCACGAAGTCCGTTCCGACAGACCTATATGCTCGTCGTACATCTCAAGACTGCGGAGAGCAAGGAACCGCATCGGAACATCCCAATGAGGAAGAGAACTACGTGAATTATTGCAATAATTACGCTGAAATCAATTAAACTTAAGATGCAAGTCGAGATTAGCTTGAGTCCCGAACAGTATGATTGGCTGGGCGATGCTTTTTTACCCCAAAATTAGAAACAGTAGTTGCCAGCAGCTATCATACAAATTTCTTGAGAAATCACCGACCCGGCCATTGGTCTTTTTTATCCGATAGGGAGACATACCTCACGCCCATGAGCTTGGTACGCTTCACTGTTCCGTTAGCAAGTTTTTCAATCTGTGAAATAAAGGAAATATTTATAAAAAGAGACAGTGGTTATGAAGCAGTTCAGAAACCTAATGAAATTTCAGTTGGATAAGAAGTTAGTAACAGGGAACCTTCAAGCAACAATTATCAAAACAGTTCACAGATAAATTTTTAGCGCCAGGTGGGGCCAAAGAAAATTNGTGTTCCATGTCGCACTACGGCTTGTAGTCGCACGCACTACGGCTTGTAGTGCGTAGTGCTACTTCGTAGTGCTAGTGCCCTATTTAGGATACGGGCCTATATCTAAGCAGATAATGGCGAAGATCTTTCATTCAAAACAATGGCCTCATGCAAACCCATTGATAAAAAAGCTGAACTTGACAATACTAGAAATGTAATAAAAAGTTTATACAAATCAATACCAATTGCAACATATATTTAATATTTTATTTCTAACTATAACAAGGAAAAGGATTGAATCCTGACAAATTCTCTAAAATTAGTTGATAATAATGAAACTATTTGAACTTAAAGTCATCATTGGTTTGAAGACCATCTCTCAGAGAATTTATTAAGGAATTGAAATGAAATGAGAATAAAATATGCGTTTAAAAAGTAATTTTAAATTAATGTTAAGACCACACTTCTACAGTGTGAATCTCCGATGCTACAAATGTAAAATGAATTTCTTATTTTATTTTTATATATTAAAAAATTTGTATTAACTTTATTTTTTTAAATTCTATTTATTTTAAATTTTAATTTTTTCCTATTTTCTATTCATTTTCTTCTATTAATTGATTCATGCTTTGTCTCCAACTTTACGCAAGTGTGTAAAATTTCAGATCGATTGGAAAGGAAATCTTATAATATCAATTATATGAATTGTAGCAGACAGACAAGAAAGCTAGTTAAAGAGAAGTGTAGTAATATGTGCGTTGAAAAATTAAAGACAACACTTCTGAAGAGACCAGTGTCACCGATGTTCCATTTGTACAATGAATTTATTTTTTTATTTATTTTTAAATATCCAAAAAAACTATTTTTAAGTTTTGTTTTTTAATATATATTTTTTTAATTATTTATAAGGTCAATTGATTAAAACCTTTATGTAAGTGTGCAAAGTTTCAGATCGATTGGACAATTTGAAGTGTATTAAATATCGATTATAAGATTTGTAGCAGACAATCAAACAACAACAAATGAAGTCAAATAGAAGTATTCACGATAAAATTACACCCAAGCTTAGGGTACCCACACAGTGAAAGCAGGTTGCCAGCGTGCTGGTTACCTGCTCCAACCTGCCACATGAACATAGGATAATAATGTAATAATAATAGGATAATAATGTAAGTGTCCACAGTGAAAACCTGTACGAATAGGCCAGCGCCAGGCCTATTTATTTCAATTTCAGGCGCCAGCCTCAGCAGGTAACCAGCACGCTGGCAACCTGCTTCCTCTGTGAACCTCTCGCGCTTGTTTCAGGCGCCAGCCTCAGCAGGTAACCAGCACGCTGGCAACCTGCTTTCACTGTGTGGGTACCTTAAGGTGGATAGGCGGCAGCAAGTAAAGCCGGTCATTAGATCTGGAGGGTAGAAGGAAAAGCAGAGTACAGAACTGGTTAAACCAGATTGTTTTATGCGTGAAAAATAGAATAGAATTATGCGTCAGTCCAGTGCGGAACAGGGCAGGTTTATACTTGGCTTACAGGCCCTGAGGATAATTCCTCAGGGCCTTGGTACCCTTAGACTGTGGAACATGAGGTGACCTTTTCTAGGTTCTGGCCTCCGTCTGCTGGCCCCACAGGGATCACAAGACAACCCCCAGGAGCGAGTTGGTCTACGAGGCTCTTGGGGGGCTCGGGCGATGCTGCCCCCACGTGGATGGCGTCGTAAGGCCCTCCAGCAGCATAGCCCTTACGTCCATCCCCCACTGTCATAAAGAATATAACTCAGTACTCACTGCCGTGAGTGACAGAGAGCGCATTTTCTCGTCGACGAAAACGTGAAGTCACGGACAGACAGACAGACGGACGGACGGACATGGCGAGCACAATAGTGCATTTTTTCCCATAAATGAGAAAATGCGCCAAAATGTGAATCACCATTAGTGTTGTGTGTCAAGTTTAGGCGACTATTGATTCCGACCGATTTTTTATTACAAACAAAGCTAGCCTATGACACAGATCACATTCTATACATTTGCGCTTTTCAGAAATTAGATAGTTGGAAATAAACCCGATCATCATTCAACTGCTCACTAACTATCTTCATCCCATAGTCACAAGATCTTAGTCTGATTCAATTTAATGTACTCCTTAATAAAATATCCTTTGCATGCAAAAAAAGTGATATGTGAAGATTGTTTTCTTTCAATGTAAACAAGTAAATCTTTGATCATTATTCCACATTAACTAACCAACAAGCTGGACAATGCCAGACTTTAGCAGCTCCGGACTGTCATTGTTGATGTTTTCACGCGCTTGCTCAACCAGTTCAGGGAAGTGGTCAATCCCTACAGAGAGCCCTCCTTTTCCCACCTGTCAGTAAAACAATGAAATTCATTACCTGATAACTTATTCAACATGTGAAAATCAATCCATGATCAAGATCTAAACACCGCTATATGAACTTAATGGCATTAAGGTGATGTTTGAGTTCTTATTTTGAGAGAGGAGTTCCGGTGCCACGGAGGCATTTCTGTGAACATTTGAACATTTACTAGCACAATTAAACTGTCATCTTTCTCAGTACTAGCAGAGTCTAGTGAATAGTATACTATAGTATCTTCGGCATTGAAGAATAGGCCTGGATAGGCCTGTCGCCGAAACTTGTACTTTTCTTGACTAGACTGGCCTTTTGATTAAATATTTTCAACGGACGGTAGGTTCAAAATTGCTTCTATAGATATCAGTTGTTCCGTAGGGTATGAGGCATTTCAAGACTAAACATATGCTCATGCATGGCCTTGTCTAGTCTGTTCTTGAACGCGTTCATATTCGGAGCGTCAACAATATCTTCAACAATAAAAATTATAGTGATGGAAATGAAATAAAACACTCACCATATGACCCATGCAAGCAGTTAGGTAGCCACTGCCACACCCAACATCCAAGGCTCTGTTGCCCTTCTTGAGGTGGTCTTGTAGCAGTGTCAGGGAGCACGCATGCTGTCAACAAAATAGTTGTGCACACCACAACAGAAATAAATTGCCAGATATTTGGTGTATTAGCGGTTGTAGAGATGAAATGCGAATAAAGAAGAGAATGTGAAAATATAGTCATATTCTGGTGGCTTCATTAATAAATGAGAAAATTTCTGCATCCAATGACGTGAGAATTATTACTGGAAAACAACTACTCAAGTAAGATTACCATATTACTCAAGAACTCGATTAAGATTACTACAATACGTAGTTAGTGAGAAATATCATATCTTCTTGAACAACTATCAATCATGAATATCAATGTAAAAAAAGTGTGAAAGATAGCATAAAAAGCATAACTCCCTAAATATGCCATCCAACCATAGAGTGGTTGAGTGAAAACACTAAGAGTGGTCCGAAGGTATTGTAAAATTAAACTCCTATAGGACTAAAGTACAATTTTTTATGCACTCATTTCACGATAATTAAAATGAGAAACAACAATAAAAGGAATCACCCACCATATGAGGAGCACTAATGTTAACACCATAACCAATGCTTTGCGGAGAGTCATGATAGGGGTTCTTCTTAGAATACTTGCCCCGATCTACCATCAGCATGGCCTTCTCCACAGCATCGCTCGTGATAACACCATTGCCTGAGCAAATCAATCATATTTTGACATTAATTCCAACTGATCCTAGTGAATTTTAAATTAAATACTTATTAATCTAATCCACTATCTAATGTACATTGATTCAATAATTTCATGACGACTGGTAAAATAAAATAAATTACCAGCAAGGTTGCTATGGAATTCATTGTTCTATTTCGAACTTTTCATGTGAACATTACCATTTCGGAAAACAAAGAGAAGGAATTTGGAATCAAACTCAGAGATAGACACTACATAAATTAGCAAATTTACACTAAATCCCCTAAAAAGTTGAAAAAAATAAGTTCAAATTACTAAATGGAGTTCATGTACGAAAAATGATGACTTACTCCTCAGATTCCGGATTAGATCTTCATGATCTTTGCCATGGGATCTCCAAGCCATTGTTGCTCTATTGAGGATTGTCAAAAAGCTGCAGGTTAGGTTAGGTTAGGTTAGGTTAAGGGTTAGGTTTGGTTAGGTTAAGGGTTAGGTTAGGTTAGGTTAAGGGTTAGGTTAGGTTAGGTTAGGTTAGGATATTAAAGTTTAGGAGCTCCTAGTTTTGTAACCATCTGAAAATTTCCATAACCCAAAAAATCTAATTTATTGAATGGTCATATCAGATTCAGTTCTTCCAGAGAAGACATGATTGTAGAAATTCAGAGGAGATAGTAAATGTAGTTCAATTATATCATTACTGGTAATAAAATTTATTTAGACAATTAAAATAATTCTTCAATTATTTTAGAGAGAAGCTGTAAATGCTAAAAATATGAAGCATGTATATTGAGGTTTGAGGAAGGGAGAGAAGACATGTTATATTCATGAGATTTCAGGAAGCAAGAGAAACTGTTATTGAGCAGCCATGAGCAGAGACGGGACGGAGTGAGCAGCTATGATACAGAGACGGGAGATCATTCTGGATGAGAGGCGTAAGAAAGTAATGGTGATGATTAGGACAGCCCATTTTTTGGTGAGATTTTCTCTTATGTTTCACATTGCATGCTCATATAATGTTTCACATTGCATGATAATATTATGTTTCACATTGCATTGTATGTTTCACGTGCAATATCCCGACACGAGAAATATCCTGGATACGCGCCCCAACAGCCCCTATATGCAATATCCCGACACGAGAAGTATCCTGGATACGCGCCCCTTACGCGCCCCAACAGCCCCTATATGCAATATCCCGACACGACATAAGTATCCTGGATACGCGCCCCCAACAGCCCCTATATGCAATATCCCGACACAATAAGTATCCTGGATACGCGCCCCAACAGCCACTATGTGCAATATCCCGATACGACAGGGCAGAAGCGCTGCACGTGCATTGCAATCCTAAAGAGTACCTGATCCTATCCTGCTCTTTAATACTGCTGAGTGACAGGCGCCGTATTTATCAATCTGAGGAGAGCAATTAGCATGCAAAAACGATGATGAAATTCTGGAAAAAAAAATTATGGATATTACAGCAGTGAATACAGTAATGTTTATTATAAATATATTCCATAAATAAAAAAGTTCACTGACAAGTGCACCCGCGTTTGCACCATTGAAGAAGGTACTTTATACGTGCACTTGAGGTACATTATAGTGTACGATGGCGCAGCTCGGAAATGTTCCTAGTCAACGTACACTTAGGATGGCTATGCATAGTCTCCAGCTTCACACACTCCAAGATTTTGTAGTGACTCAAGAGTATTACGAGAAGAAAACTATATTTTTAAATATTTTAATGCCTTAATTATGCACTTTACTTGTGAACCCTGGCTGATGGCCTACGGCAAATGGACTAAAATACAAATAAATGTAATCAGCATTATAAGCCAGTTAATCATGGCCAGTCTCAATATCTGTAATTTCTCTGACAATTTTGAAATAGTTTCAAGCTCTGGTAATAAACAAAATATCCGTTATTAACCTTTACGATTCTTTATTATCTCACGATTACGATTCTTCAGTAAAACCTCCGATTCCTACGTTAGCCACAATTCCTTCACTCTTCCTTCAATTTTTGTGCAATTAGGATAGTTAAACATAGTTAGTAGTTACCAGGTTCACTCATCAAAATACAAAGCCACGAGCGATCACTTCACTGTGCCAACGACACCTTACTGTAAAGACACTTATCTTAATCTTGCAAGTTTGTGATCAAGTCGCGCAGCGTAACCCGTCGCAGATAACGCTTATCGCTGCAGCAGATAACGGCTATCACTGCAGTAAATAACGGCGCATGCCGGCTTAGCCGGCGACTTAGCGCTAGCGATGCAGACATAACCACTCACCAGACATAGACATCACCGCGATGCAGATATAACATTTCATCCGACATAGATACCACCGCCATGCAGGCATAACCTTTCACCAGACATAGACATCACCGCGATTTATGCACAACGTCTCACCCACCAGACATAGACATCAGCGTTATACAGACATAACCTCTCACCAGACAGACATCACCGCGATGCTGACATAACTTTTCACCAGACAAAGAATTCACCGTGATTTGAAGACATGATCACGCATCATAGAGCCTCCCACCGCAGGAAGGCGTTATCTCAACTCATAAATAAGAAGATAAGACCTTCCGGGCTCACGTAGGCTGATTGCCCAAAGAGCCAGTAGAACAATTATTTCGATTATCGTTATTCCATATATTAGACATAACTATCTATAATTTATTATTCTATATGTATACGCATCCATTAAAAGTCTTATCATACGAGTCACTTTGAGAGTCCTAATTGAAATATTGTAAATTATAATGTCATCAAATGAGTGAAATGACACAAGTATATCCATGATGAACGATGATTCAGCTCAGAGTAACGGCTACGAAAAAATCGAACGAAGTTTCGAAGTATCTCGATTAAAATGTTATTATTGTTATTCTATATATTATGTATAACAATATATAACTTGTTAATTAATCCAAATTTGATGGCGCATCGTTATGGATAAAGTAAGTTTTTTTTCAGCGCCCGTTTACTCGAATATACTCGTAGAAACGTGTTCAAAGCAAGTGTTTTCATGAGGATAATCTAGAATTTTCCTCGATTATAAAATTTGCTCCTGACAACTACCCAGCCAGAAAAATAGCTTCAAATCTCTCCAACCACTATAAAGGATTATCTGGGTCATATCCAAAACCCTCTATAAGACGCAAAAGAGCTTTAGGGCAATCAGAAGTTTTACTTTTTCATAAAACCAGGTGTTTTTCTTCTATTTTCCAAAGCCCTTAACATGAGCAAATTTTAAAAATTTTCGATTCACTTCCACTAAAAATTGAATAAGTCGTTTGCCTCGGTTCCAGTGATACACCATCAATGAGGGCATGAAAATCTCTTACATATCTCTCGTTCTCTAACTTCTTGGTTACAGATATGCAATATGTCCTGCATTATCCTTGGAATTCGGGAAAATGGCCATTAGTGTTTGAATTCAGTTAAGAGATCGTAAGTTCATCAGCCAATCGTTGACGGCCTTTCAAGCAAAATTCACCAATCATAGACAAGAAAATAGAGCGTAAGTACTTACATTCGCTTAACGAGTTTTGAAAGTATGGCCCCTGCGGTCACTAGATGCCATATTGATATTTTATTTGAGAGATACTGGAGCCCACAATGGAATTAATTCAAGCAAATAAAATATTCGAGTTACAGGTAAACTTGCTCCTCCATGGCAATCGCTAAGGGGAATAAAATATAACTCAGTACTCACTGCAGTGACAGAGAGCGCATTTTCTCGTCGACGAAAACGTGAGGTCACGGACGGACGGACGTGCCTACGGCCTAATAAACGCTGAAACCGCTATTATTCATTATTACTATTTATTATTTAGGACAATCAGAAGTTTTACTTTTTCATAAAACCAGGTGTTTTTCTTCTACTTTCCAAAGCCCTTAACATGAGCAAATTTTAAAAATTTCGATTCACTTCCACTAAATAGTGAATGAGTCGTTTCCCTCGGCTCCAGTGATACACCATAAATGAGGGCATGAAAATCTCGTACAAATCTCTCGTTCTCTAACTTCTTGCATGGTTACAGGTATGCTATATGTCCTGGAATTATCCTTGGAATTCGGGAAAATGGCCATTAGTGTTCGAATTCAGGGGCTATACTTTCAAGAAAGTTAAGAGATCGTAAGTTCATCAGCCAATCGTTGACGGCCTTTCAAGCAAAATCCACCAATCATAGACAAGAAAATAACGCGTAAGTACTTACGTTCACTTAGCGAGTGTTGAAAGTATGGCCCCTGCGGGGCCATACTCTTTTATTTGAGATACTGGCATATTACTGGCATATTTGAGATACTGGCATATTACTCTTTTATTTGAGAGATACTGGAGCCCACAATGGAATTAATTCAAGCAAATATAATATTCGAGTAGCAGGTAAACTTGCTCCTCCATGGTAATCGCTAATGGAAAAAACTTTTTTAATCTAGTAACATAATCTAATCATAATCCGGCTTCTTAGTCATGCGGATAAGTTGAAAATTGGGTAACCTACAGGCAGCTAACTCAATGACGCTCTGCGGCATACTATAGTAAAGAGCACAATACTGTTGCATATAAAAATAAGATTATCAATGACTGAATTCAATCTGAACTATTCAATAACTTAAACGAAGAGCATTGCAGAATAGGTGCAGCTTCCCCTGGTTAGAACTTTTTAATGGGGCGCATTAATATTGAAGTTCATTTTATTTTTCTTTGTTGTTGTGATGTTGAGATGACCCAAACCTTGCCTGTGGAACTCCGTCAGCGAAGCTGGGCCTCGATGGCCATTATCGCATTATCGCTTATCGTACTCGCTATTTGTACGGATCTTTCTTTAGCATACAATAATTTATTGTAATTTATTGATCTATTTTCATTACCGGGGTTAGTAACAACGGGTTTGGGAAAACGTGATTCCAAAATTTCTGAGATTTTTGGTCCCGGGACACGCAGGGCTGGTCTGCAAGTTTGAAACAATAACAATTTTAACACTCAATTCTTCGTACTCACCCACTAGTAGAATATTTCCGAGCCCTGCCAATATCTGTGTTACCTGCAGCGTCTGAGCTGCGCGGCTTGATAAGCAGGAGGCCGCTTATCAGGCCGGGGAAGATAACGGGTGTTAGTGCCTGAGATTACGCGCCTTCTGGTGCACGTGTTGTATTTTAATCAAAGCTTCCATATCTCTAAAGCAAGTGTTGCATTCAGCTTAATATTGATCTAAACTTCCATAGCTTCCATTATTTACATGGTTTCCTGTAGGAAATTCGTAAAATGAGTGCTTTGTCTACTGTGAAAAGAAACGGTGGAAATGTTCGAAGAATGTTCGAAATACAGCCTGGTTATAATTAAATTTTCTGTTCTGAAGTTTGATAAGTGGTGATATGACTTTGGAGTACTGTCCGGTGTCAATCAGGCGTCTCATTCTATTCATTATAATTAATATGATAAGATTAGATCATCTGCAATTGAAACGTAATATTCACTAGACGTTGTGGATATTGATGGAAAAGTTCTAGACCTGAGTCAAAGTACTGAGATGGAAAGTTCTAGAAAGATGGAAAAATTGATGGAAAAGTTCCAGATCTGAGTCAAAGTACTGAGATGGAAAGTTCTAGAAAAATGGAAAAATTGATGGAAAAGTTCTAGAGCTGAGGAAATTGATGGAAAAGTTCTAGCCCTGAGTCAAAGTACTAGCCCTGAGTCAAAGTTCTAGACCTGAGGCAAAGTACTAGCCCTGAGTCAAAGTTCTAGACCTGAGTCAAAGTACTAGCCCTGAGTCAAAGTTCTAGACCTGAGTCAAAGTACTAGCCCTGAGTCAAAGTTCTAGACCTGAGTCAAAGTTCTAGACCTGAGTCAAAGTTCTAGACCTGAGTCAAAGTTCTAGACCTGAGTCAAAGTTCTAGCCCTGNCAGCTATTATTGACTTGATATTAGCAGCTATTATTGACTTGATATTAGCAGCTATTATTGACTTGATATTAGCAGCTATTATTGACTTGATATTAGCAGCTATTATTGACTTGATATTAGCAGCTATTATTGACTTGATATTAGCAGCCATTATCGACTTGATGTTAGCAGCTATTATTGACTTGATATTAGCAGCTATTATTGACTTGATATTGGCAACTATTATTGACTGATATTAGCAGCTATTATTGACTTGATATTAACAGCTATTATTGACTTGATATTGGCAACTATTGTTGACTCAGTTGCTACTATTGGCTATTATTTATTATTATTTCAGCTACTATTGACTATTTGTATTATTATTATCAGCAATTATTGACTTGACATAAGCAGATATTGTTGACTTGATATTAGCAGCTATTTTTGAATTGATATTATCAGGTATAATAGATTCGATATTATACTAGCAGCTGCTTTGGTCTTGATATTTTTCTAAGCGGTCGCTTGAATGACAAACTAAAAAAAACTGAAAATAAAACTGAAAATAAAACTGAAAATAAAAACTGAAAATAAAAACTGAAAATAAAAGCGCCTAAACTCCCGCCAAATTTCCACATGCAGGCTAGAAGCGCAGGTCGCCTGTCTGATGCGACGCAGGCTAGAAGCGCAGGTCGCCTGTCTGGTGTGACGCAGGCTGGGGGAGCAGGTCGCCTGTCTGGTGCGTCGCAGGCTGGGGGAGCAGGTCGCCTGTCTTAGAAAACCAGTTGACGGCCGGCAGAAACATCTCCATAACACATAAATGACGGCAATGACAGGCACGTCGAACAAGCTACAAGCGGCAGTACTATTAAGAACAGTTTCGAGTTCGTAATTCCGCCAGCAAATCACTGATGACATTTTAAGCTGAACGCAGGAATGACAGAAAAAATCTGCTGCTTCGTATACCTAGGCTGCAACGTGTAGTTAGTCCGCTACTATATAGGGCGGTAAATGACAATAGAGTTCATTGATTTAAATTTTCAGAGTCGAAGAATTCTTCAGTTGACGTTGGTTGATCAAAATGGGGGGTTAAGCAATAAATTTAATTTATTAACGACGTCGGTTGATCAAAATGCAGGTTTTATGAAGAAATTTAATTTATTAACGACGTTAACGCCGTTGGTTGATCAAAACCTGCATTTTGATCACCCGACATCATCTGAAGAATTGTTTAACCCTGAAAATTTAAATCAAAAAACTATATTGTCTAATACTAAATCAATGAATTCTATGGTCTAATTCTGCCATCTAGTATTAATTTCTGCACTCATGACCAGGCAGCGAGAGGTGAAATGATAACTGTGAGACACAGATCAGCAGCCGACATTGTCTCACACATTGGGCAGCCATTGAGCAGCCTACGACATTGAGCAGCCGTTTATCCTGCCACCTGAAACAATTTTACAACCGGGCCAGGTCTCAAAGTAATAAAATCGAGCAGCTTCCCAAGATCCGTGATGAATTTAACAGGCTCCGTGACACCTTTGACAACTATACGTCAAACTCAACGAGACCGTCACTCCCATCTGTGCTGGAGGAACCCTACAGCATCATCCTGTATATAGTATAGTATCTTCGGCATTAAAGAGTAGGCCTGGATAGGCCTGTCGCCGATTCTTAAGTACTTTTCTTGACTAGAAAATATATATAGTGGCCCGATATCAACTGACGTACGATAGCTGAAGCCCTCGGCCTATGCTTTCAAAAGAAGTTAAGAGATCGTAAGTTCATCAGCCAATCATTGACGGCCTTTCAAGCAAAATCCACCATTCATAGACAAGAAAATAGAGCGTAAGTACTTACGTTCACTTAGCCAGTTTTGCCACCAATCATAGACAAGAAAATAGNATACTTCAATGAGGTCACCACGCAGTCGACGATAACGCAGCCTGCTATACTATAATTGCTGATCTTAAAATCACTAAGCAGATCCTCAGCGCTTCAGAACGAACATGCAGGAGTCTATGTTTTGAATTCCGCCTCGCACTCCCTGAAAATCTTCAGCATGCATTTTACATGATATGTTCGTTCAGAATCATCAACTCTTATGACATAATCAACCTTATGGGTCCGTCTTGCTATTTCGAAAGACCACGTACGTTCTACTAACAGATTACTGGTGCTAGTAGGAAGCGATAACGAAACCATTTCTCCAACCTTAAACTTTCTAGGACAGACACTTTAATCAATGGTAACGTAGAAGGGCGACTACATGCAAATTTTAAACATGAGAAAGATGAAATGCGGAACAGATAAATGTTATTTTAACAACCAGGGCCTATACTTTCAAAAAAAGTTAAGAGATCGTAAGTTCATCAGCCATTCATGGACGGCCTTCCAAGCAAAATCCACCAATCATAGACCAGAAAATAGAGCGTAAATATTTACGTTGACTTAGCGAGTTTTGAAAGTATGGCCCCAGACCCATAAAGCGCTATTACACCATCCTTCGTTTTCTGAACGCCAAATTAACCTGCGGTAATGCAGTCATGTGCTAATTCCATTACATTCTTCCTCATTTCAGAAGTAATACGAATTGTTTAACAATATTCAACACAGACTTCTTTTCACGTGTTTGTCTAATCAATACATCGTTCAATTAAGAAAATTTTGGGAAGTTTGTTGAGTTAGCTTCTACATGTTTGAACTAATAAATGGATCGTCACTTCAAAGCATATTTCTGGTATGAATTGAAATTGAAACGAGGTTTAAGAGCACTTATTGTACGCGTGTTATCTGCTCATATATGACATATAGGTTTTTGTAAGTCATTTGGTTTACTAGCACAAGTGGCTTCCTGACCAGGGGCCATACTTTCAAAACTCGCTAAGTGAACGTAAGTACTTACGCTCTTTTTTCTTGTCTATGATTGGTGGATTTTGCTTGAAAGGCCGTCAATGATTGGCTGATGAACTTACGATCTCTTAACTTTTTTTTGAAAGTATGGGCCAAGGACAGTGGTAGCAATCGTATCTCGCGAAATTTTGACTTCTATCCACCTACAAAAATCAAAAGTTACGAGCAGCGATTGGTCTACCCTAATCTTCGAATTGCACATGACTAAAGAAGTAATTCAAGAACGACGATTGACAGATTAATTGGTTTTGGAAATGCAGTGTGCATTTGAATATACTCTACCCGCAGCAAATCTAGATCAACTGAACTAATTTATATAGGCCCAGGTTTTTTCCATCACAAATAAATATTAGGCTTGCTTTGATCTGCAGGCAAATGAGAAGTACTGATATCGGCATTATTAATTTTAATGCTACAGTTATGAGAACTGAGATCTTATTTCCATACTGAAAGCAAGTAGGTTCTTTGTCCGACGCAAAGTTTGAAGGCAATTACACTTTGTTCTTAACTCCCGCTCTATATAATATGTAGTACCTGGCAGTTGGAAGCTAGTTTCACGACTTTAACTAACGGCATGTGAAAAATGTATTTTTTTCTCATATATATTACGAAAGACTTATATCAACCTAATTTGCTAACAGTTGTATATTATTCAACTCCACAATGTCTTAGAAAGATTTCCCCATATGATCATAATAATTTTCAAGATGATTGCGTGCGGGCTGAAAGATTTCGATTTCTGCGTCGAAGAGCGAAATTCCCACTGATAGTCGTACACCGTAAACATAACTGCACCTATCAAGTTAAATTAATATTCTCGGATATTCCGCTAAACGTAATATAATTCATAAATGAACATACCCTGGAGTTGGCAAAATCATTTTGCTGACACGGCCACGGAATGAAGCCAGCAGTTAGCATCTCGCACCATTTATCTCTCTTCGTCTCTCTTTCCTCACTTATTATCAGTTCGTCTTGGCTTATTAGAACATATATACTTTTCTTTTGCCTTGACCACCGTCATTCACCACGTCATCACCATCATTCAAGTTTGAAGACAGCAAGACGTGAGGAACAAGAGAGAAGAGTGACTACACACCCACTCACACACATGCAGTCTCATCAATCCCATATACATACAAAACACACACAATCTCATAAGCATAAAGAAAACATACATATACAATCCATATACAATCTCATAAGCATAAAGAAAACACAGTCTCTTTAATCCCAAACAAAATACACATAGTCTCACTAATCTCACACAAAACACACATTATTGTGTTTGGAGGTGCAGGTAAAGCTGGAGCGCCTGCTGCACTTCGGCGTCACTGGGCACCGCTGGTCCCTTCGTGGGCATGTTGTCCGTGATGCGGAGGATAACCTGCCCCCACCTGTGGGAGTATCGGCCTCCCAGGACCCCTCTTCCACCCCTTCCACGCACAGCTCTGGCGGGGGGGAGGAGGGCAGGGGGGAGGGTTGCCGGGGGCGGTCAAGAAAGAGGAATTTGGTTTGGCCAGGAGGCCGTAGGGGGCGAGTGTGCATATCTGTGCAGGTCAAATAAGATAACAATGAGTATAACAATGATGCAAGATAACAGTGCTGCATGATAACAGGGATCCTTAACCTTAGATCTCAATATAACCTTAGATCCAAATGATCTAAGAAAGGGGGAGTTCCCCCTGGAGACCTTCAAGAGCCAACTGGGCGTGTTCCTGGGCACAATCCCAGATCGACCTCCCCTGCAACACTACCAGTGGCGAGAAGCAAGCAACAGCATCGTGCATCAGGTGGTCCAAATGATCGTGCATCGTGGCCTGGGACTGCTATGTCCCAAATAAGTACCAAGATTACAGGAATGCTATATAACACGGATGCAAGATTACAGTGATGCAAGATAACAGTGATGCAAGACAACAATGAGTATAACAGTGATGCAAGATAACAGTGGTGCAAGATAACAAGGATGCAAGATAACAGCGATGCAAGATAACAGTGATGCATGATAGCAGTGATGCAAGATGACAGGGATGCAAGATAACAGGGATGCAAGATAACAGGGATGCAAGATAACAGGGATGCATGATAACAGAGATACAAGATAACAGGGATGCAAGATAACAGGGATGCATGATAACAGGGATGCAAGATAACAGTGATGCAAGATAACAGTGATGCAAGATAACAGTGATGCAAGATAACAGTGATGCAAGATAACAGTGATGCAAGATAACAGTGATGCAAGATAACAG